CTGCGGAACGAGCTCTCCCCACGAGCTCGCCGCCGGGCCGGAGCAAATCCCTCACGGGGAACCCGTTATTGCTCTGGGCTGCCGTCGCCGGCCGTATTACGACCGGGCTGTTGAGAACATTACGGTTTTTTGACGGACCTGGCGATGACTGTACTGTACCGCCAACACACACAACAACACCCTCAGTTTAGCTGTTTGGCAACACAATGGAGGCCTCGGAACGCCGCTGCGTGCACTACCAGCAGCGTGCGCCGTCTACGCGGGCTGCGAGGAGAGAGCTCGGCGAGGAGCGCCGTGAGGTAGGCAGGCCGCCCGCACGGGTGCGCGGGGGCGCGGGGGGTGCCTACCCGCACGGCGCTCGGCCCGCGAGAGTGTCCCAGCGAGGACCTGACAACTGGGAGCAGAGGAGAGTCCAACCCTCCCTGTGCACCTCTTTCACTTGCTCTTCCTCTCTCATTCTCTTTCTCTGCCTCACTCCCCCGTCTCTGTCTCTCTCTGTTTCACTCAGATACTGCTCTCTCATTGCCCCTCGTCCCTCCCCACTACCTTCCCGCTCTCTACGCAGACACATACAAGGCTTTCCGTCACACACACTCACACACACACACACACACAGCCTCTTCTCTCAGAACTATTTTTTTCCCTCAGTCTTCTTTCTTTTGTCATCTGACAGCAAAAGAGCGATAGAAACAGACAACATGTTTGCGTCGCCGGGCGCGCTGCGCGAGCTTGACGGTCCGAGAGGAGTGACGACACACTCTCGCGCGCGCGCGCACGCACACACACACACACACACACACACACACACACATCGGCGCACTCTGAAGCCGGAGTGGGGAGTAAAGAAAGAAAATAGAGGGGGGGGGGAGAGAGAAAGGAGGGAGTAGAGGAGTATGGCGAGTGAACAAGAGTGGGAGAGTGGGGAGGAAAGAAAGAAAAGAGGAAGAAGGTGCGCCTAGTCCGCGGGACGCCGGGCGCTAAGGGAAGGGGAAGGTACGGACTAAGATTGGCGAGTAGTTTGGCTTGGCCCGGGCCCGGCCGGCATCCGGTCCGATTGCTAGTGCACCCCGCCCCACCCCGCCCAGCCCCGCCCCGCCCCGCCACGCTTGCGACGTCGGGCGGACCGGCCTGGCGCGGACGGACACCGACATCCCGTCCGCGACGCGGAGTCCGTAGCAGTCAGCGCAGTCAGCGGCGACCCGCGGCAGACCGGCGCGCATCGCAACCGCCCCGCCGAGCCCGGCCCGGACCGCACACCCAGTCCTCACGCAGTCCCCGCTCCGGGCGGTGTCCCAGGTGGTCGCGCGCAGCCGTAGCCGACCCCGTCGTCGTCGCTTTGGAGCACCGCGCCGTCGCGTCAGGCCCCGCCAGGATGCCACCGTCCTCGTCGTCAGTGGCGCCGGAGTGAGGATACCTGCGGCGACATAAGGTGAGTGCGGTGGTGCCCGCCGCCGGGTCAGTGTGCCAGGGTGCCAGGGTCGGCCCCCGACGCGCATGTAACCGCGGGTTCAAGGGCCGCGCCGCTCCGCCCGTTCGTTCGTTCATATTTGCTTTTTCCTTGGCGCCCGCCCCAACGCGGCGCCCAGCGGGCGGTCCCGGCCGGGGGGTAAAACCCGCGGCGCTATCGCGGTGCGTAAGTGTGTCGCGGCGGACCGGACCGGACCGGCCTGGCGGGCGCCAAAAGCGCGCAACAGGCTGCTCACGTGACGCGCACGTGTGCGTGACGCGGTGAGTGACCTGTCACGCGCGCGGTGTGACGCATAGCCGGTGTGACGCGTGCCCGCGCGGAGCCAGAGGCGCCGGCGTCGTCGCGGGGTCCGCCAGGGGAGCGCGGGCCGCGCACATGCACAGCGAGTGGCGTTACGGCGGCCGTGGTACACTGTCGCAAAACACGACGGCGCGCGATACCGCAAGTGGGCCACGGCGGCAGTGCTTCTAAGAATAGCGCCCGGTCCCGACGACAGGACAACAATAATCGAATATATGGGAATAAGAAGAGAAGTGACTAAATGGGAGTGATAAACACGAATATGACGGATCTGTCATTTCGTTGAGTCTACTTTTTTTTGTCGGATTTTTTCCCCCCTTTTCCTTCACGCTGGCCCGCGGTTTGACCAGTTTTTCCCAGTGGGCCAAATGGCGTGCAGTATGCACAGCTGATAAGCTTGCCCCTCCCCCGCCCCCCTTGCCGTTCTGCGCAATGGCAGACGGGCGACGACTTTCAAGTGAAGTCACGGACGGACAAACGGACGGACGCGCGTCGTGGCCGTGAGATGCCACATTGTGGTGCATGTAGGCATATAATGCGCGTGTGGGGTCTGTTTGGTACTGGTATTGGAAGGCTTCAAAGGCAGACATTTTCTGAAAGAAAGCAAAGCCTAAATTACAACAAACAATATTTCAAAATTTTACCATTTAATAAACATTGTTGTTTCGAATCAGGGACTTGGCTGACCTATCGGCAGCTGGCAAGTAAGCGGCAAGTAAAACGTAACAAGAAAAAACATGCCGATGACCATAGACTTAACCAGTTGTAAAATGTACTCCGGCCTACTGTTAATGCCAACTACACTACACCTGCCTAGAACTGGCAATATGTGGGCGTGGGCCCGTCCGTGCCTTTCGTTATTGAAAGTCTCCTGGCGGCCGGCCGGCCGTGCGAGCCAGCTGATCGTCACACCGCTACGGGCTGGGGCGCTGGCTGGCGTGTGCTAGCAGGGGAGACCCCGTCGTCGCCAGGCCCTGCTCGCGGCGCTGCAGGCCCCTGCAATAACTGCCAAACCTGATTGGAGGTTGACCTGCCCCATCATCCGTCTCCTCCTGTGTGTGTCGGTGACATTATCCGAGTTTCCCAGGCATTTGCCGATGCCGTGCCGCTCGCGGTCGCCCCGACAGCTCACGCAGGTATGGCCGCCCGCCGCCGCCGCTGCTGGGCGCGGTGGAGCAGCGCACTCCACTCGGGATGCCAATTCAGCACAAAATGAAGAACGCGCCACGCAAAATCTGGGCCACGCGCCCCTCCAGCCCCTCCTCGCCCCACCTCCACGCACCACGCGGGCAGCTCAAAAAGACGTCGGGGGTGGTGGGGGGCTGAGGGCGCCCCGCCTCGGCCCGCCTCGGCCCGCCTCGGCCCGCGCAGCCGACCCTACCCTACCCCACCGCCGCCCCCCGCGCCGCCGGCAGCTGCAACGCTCACGGAGGTTTCGGAAAGTCGTGTTGTGCTCGTCGCCTTTTACGAGGTGATAGTTTTGGCACGGGCTGCACCTCGCACAGGTTGGCCCGCCGCGAGGCTCACGGTGGCGGTGGCCTCAGTATTGCCCCTCCGATCGGCCGACACGAAACCCGCGCGCTGCCGCCGCCGTTCGCTCGCGGCTGGATCGGGTTTTTATTTAACGACCGTTGACGCAACCCATCCGTCGGCGCGCATCGCCCGCCGCGCTGACCTCTTCGATAAGAGCGGTGCACTTCCTCCGCGCCTGCTCCGCCGCGGCCGGCGAGACGGCCAGCATCGCCAGCAAGCAATTATCGCTCCGGGCGCCGGTCACCGCATCGCATAGTGCGCCGAAGATATTCGCTGTGAATACCGAGCATTTATTTTTGCATCCTGCGCGCCAACTCGCGAGTCTGACCGCGAGGCTGTCGCGAGAACGAATTGTAATTTTGCTGGGAAAATATCCAAGAATTTTTTTTCAACCCTTTTAAATTTTTTCGTAACAGTCGTCAAGTTTTGCAATTTTTCTGGAAATATTTCGATTTTTTCCGATTTTTTTTTCCTGGAAAAGTTTCCAATTTTTCCGAAAAAAATTCCTAGACGCGAGGCGAAGCCCCCCCGGAACCGCGGCGGTCGCACACGTGTTATTGAAGGGTGTGTCATCTGTCTTGCGACCAGGCATCATCGTCGCCGCAGATCCGCAAGGAACGCCCGCCCCACGCCCCGCCACGCCCCACCGCCGTGAGCGAGGAGGGGAAGGAGGTCCTCCTCGCCCAGCAGGGCCCACGCCGCCGCCACCACCGCCACCACCACCCCGGCCCCAGCATGCTGAGGGCGCGCGCCTGCACGCCCGCTGGAGCCACCTGATACCTCCCAGCCAGCGCAGCGGTAAGCAAACAACCATCACTCAGTTGAGGTCCATACGGCCGATGCGGTCCTTACCTGCCTCTGCCAGCCTTCCTGCATGATAAAACCGACGACAGACGTCCTGGTTTTCATGGCGGTTTGGAAAAACCAAAACGTCTTCTGAAAAAAAAAAGCATGGGGACGTCTTGGTTTTTCTACACCGCGTCATTGAGACAAGGACGTCGCTTTAACCGTGTTCCTGCTCGCCTCTCCCTATATGACGACCAGTGCGACCCTGGGGAAGTCCCAACTTGGAGCATACTGCGGGCCCAGCATCTTCATACAGCAATAAAGCTCTCGATCGGGGAACCTGCAACCGCAATCAAATGATTCCAATGTGTTTAGAAGACAAAGTAAGAGAGTCCCACCACAGAGTTCTCGTACGGGTGCCGGACAAACCCGGAGCGCGTCCGAAAAAGACACGTGCGAGTGCGAGATGGGACGATATGTCGCCCGCGGATATCCAGCGTTTCACTCGCACCCGCGACGCTTTCCGGTAACGTTTCAGGTCCTGAGACCTACCCGGACCTACCAGAATGAAAACTCCGGTGGCCCGACGACCGGTCTCGTACTTCAGGCCTATGACTTACCTTCACTATCCATAAGCAAAGCGCCTCATGCCCAATCAAATAAGGCAGCTCGTCCACATTGCTTGCATTCACTCAAAATAATTGGACACCGGTGGACTACCCTCTTAAAAAATTAAAAAATGAAACAACCTACTGACTTTGGGTTTGCGTGTGCTAACCGTTAACGACCTCTCATCAATTTTGCTCACCCATCATTTTCTAAGTGGTTTGCGGTTCACGTTTTTTTTCTCAAACTCGGATTTAATGGGAGGTTCGAGCAGCTCGCGGTCGGTATAGTCGCATGCGTTTTCAGTTTCACGCACACACTGCCATAACATACTGCTGGGATCCCCCCTGCGCGGGCGCATGCATGACCTGGGCCCATTAAATCGGACCCATCCACGCCACGCCACGCCGCCGCGCCGCCGCTGCGTGACCCCTGGGCCGGCGTATGGCCCACACGTGATTCCGACTCGGTGATGACTGGAATTTCGCGGTTTTGCAACTCGGTACACAATATGGCGATCCGTGTGGCGTGGCGTGGCGCAGTGCCAAGCCCGCGTCGCGGGGCTGCGCGCGCGCGATTGTGTATGTCCGCGAGCTCTGCACAAACGGCGGCCGAGCCGGGTCGGGCGCCACGACCACGAGGCACGTCACACAGAAGCAGCAGCAGCGCTTTTGCGAACGGTCACCGCGACGACCAGGCCGACTACCACCACGAGCCACAGGCCGTAGTCCATACAGTAACAGTAAAACCCACGTCAGTGTTGACGCGCCCGTGTGTTCCATGCTGTTCCCCGGAGACGTCAACAAACTCCTGGCTGGCCGCGGTGGTGGTGGTGTGGCGTGGGCGGCGGCCGCGGCATTTCCTGCCGGTCGTGCGGACACGACGTGTGGCGCGCACGTGTAGCAGAGAGGAGCGGATGTCGGCGATCAGCGAGGATCAGAGGCGCACCTCTGCGCGCTGCGCGCGAGCGTCCAGTACGGTCCAGTTCCAAATTCGCTCACACAAATGTCCATGCCCAGCGCGCGGGCAAAAAAAGGGAAAAAAGATAGTACTTTTTTTTTTTGATTCCCCCACGCCGCCTGCTGTGGAACGTTGCTGCTAGGCCCTACGCTGTTGATCGGGCGGCGCGAGGAACGAGTGATGGAGTGCACGGGAACGGGGGCCCGGCTACATCATCGCACCGGGCGATTGGCAAATGTGCTCCGCTGGGCCGCCGGGAGTGGACGGGGCGGGGGAGACGGACGGACGGACAGACAGACAGACAGACAGACAGACAGATAGATAGACAGATACTTCTAGTCGAAGAGTCCATGTATACAGGCGGCACGCAGCAGCAGCGCAGGGGCGCGGGAAACAAAAAAAAAATAATAATAAAAAGGATGAAAAATACAAACCGGGTCGCCTCGGCGCTTCTCTCATAATAACGATAAAGCACCACAGTAAGACTGTGCACAGCAGCCAGCCCCGATGCTTATCGCACCAGGAATTACTCGAACCGTCTGTGACAGTCGCCTCTCTCGCACCCCCTGCTCGTCGCGGCCCCGCGTCCATCGTACTGATCGAGGCCGAGGCGGCCGCAGCAGCCGAACCGAATGAATGACTCCACTGGTGAAAAGTGAAAACGGCGTAAGTCCGCCGACTTTGCATTGGACTTACGCCCTTTTCACTTTTCACCAGTGACTTCTCTCTTTGGGGTTCTCGCCCGTCGGCCAGGGTTGGCCGGCGGGCAGGGGGGCGCCGTACCGGGGGCAAACAACTACTGGACAGTGCGTTGGGCGGTGGTGGGTGTGTCTTATTATAGAGCCGAATGACCTTGCGTCTGCGCGGCGTTAGGACCCCGTCCAAAATGCAGCGTTGACGGATGCAATCGCACTTTCGCACGCGCTATCGAGATAACGGAAGCTGCGCCTCCCTCCCTCTCTCTCGCGCGCTAACCGATTCATCGCGAAACCGGTTTGCGAAAATCGGCTTCCATGCTCCTTTCCGCACACTTTTTAGACTTTCACGAAAATATTGTAGAATAACAATGCTTTTATTCATTTTTAAACGTTTTATACTCAAATTCCATACTACCAATAATGTAACACCAATAATTCCAGAATAGAATACTTAACTCGATACTTACTTATGCCATTTATGTACTTACCGAGGTACTTACTTATGCCACCCCAGAATACGTCGCCGTGATAAAAAAAAATCATTGCTTCTTTCGCGTCCCAAAAGCTGTTATCAACTTTTGCAGAAAGAGGGGCCAAGGGCCGAGTGCGAAATGTGGCTGACCGACCGTTGACTCTTAAAACAATACACGGCAAGGACACAAATTCGGACAAAATAAAAGAAAAAAGTTGCGCCCTCAACATTACTGGCTGGTCACCTACATCGTTATGACTCTGTTCTAATCATTATAACCTTTTCCCTACAGTGCAGGCCCGGGCGCGATGACGTGCTCGCCGCGGGGGCTGGACGCGGCCGCGGCCCCCGCCACGCCGCTGCCGCCGGACGCCGAGGTGCGGGTGTACCGGCGGCGCTGGCTGCTCCTGGGGCTCTTCGCCTCCGTCATCGCCCTCAACGCGGTGCCCTGGCTGCAGTACTGCGTCATCGAGGACGTGGTCGTGCGCTACTACTCGGTCCCGGAGGAGGTCGTCGAGTGGACCAGCCTCGTGTTCAACGTGACCGCCATGCTGCTCGCCTTCCCCGCCGCCTGGCTGCTGGGGCGCCACGTGAGTGCAAAGCACCTCGCCGTCGTCCTTCGGGCCGCGGCCTCCCGGGTCAGCTACGTCTCGCGCCGCGCCGATAGCGTCACTATTAGCCGACTGGGAAGGGTTTGGTGGGGTCTCAGATATGACAGTTTCCCCCTCTGCGACATTGAGATTTAGCGATGATGAGTGATGGCTTGATGATCTATCTCCCCCTCCCCCCCCCGTTTATCGCTTGACTTGACTTGAGAGAACCCGGTCACAAATGACCAGAGGGTTTTTCGGCCCGGGCGGAGCTTGCCTAATGGATAGGTTACAGTATAATGCGAACAACGGAGGCAAAAAAACGGATGCCAGAAATGAAGAGTACGAGAAACTGCCCTGGCGTTCTGAGTTTTTGCCCTGTATTTGAGTGGTGCCCAAAATGACGTGACAATTTCTCACTAAGGTACATGCAGATTCCCATTTCTGACTTCCGTTTTTGCCAAGTCGTGGGTTTGGGGTGGGGGGTGGGGGGCCTTACTCTAGCCAGACTTGAACGGAGCGCACAATCACCAATCAGTTCCGTCACGTTCGAGCGGCTCCGGGACCAAAACAAAGTATCGCAGGGCAGCCCTGGCGAGTGAGCGATGGCAACAACTCGCTTCTAATGAGGCCCGCCTCGGTGTAACGTATGACGCGCGCGGAGATCCCAAAGCACAAATCATTTTTCATTTATTTCTATTTTTTGTGGGGGCCTCTAGTTTTGGCAAGTCAGTGTCAGTCCACTATTTTGACATTGTTGGCCGTCACATTAGGCATCCACTGTCTTTTGTTCTCTGACCTATGATTTCAAACTTTGGTGACAAAAAAGATTTTTGGAAACAAATGTGCGACCTTATTATGTGGCGGCTCATAATATTTGGCAGCTTGTCTTTTTTGTTGCCTTACCTTGGTGACAGAGAAGTCGCCTTGAATAAGGCGACAAATTGCCAACTAAGTCCATAAAAATTATACGCTTAATTTTTCCGGCCAGCTTATGTTACCATTTGTGGTCACAAGTTCAAGAGTCCTCTTGTTTGAGGCGACACAAAAGCGAAGTCGCCAAACAAAAGTGATTGCATTTCCGTAAACCACAAGGGCACAGTGCCTTTTTTTTCCTACAGTTGTAGAATTTTCATCGGCTGTCACTTTGACATTTTAAACATCAACAATTAGTTGATATTGGCACACAAGTGCAGCAGTCATTTTGGGATGTTTGGCTGAGCACATTCTAGTCACTAAATTATTCAAAATTCCTTTATTTATTGATAA